TTTCTCGCTATCGCCACTTTCACGACGTTTCTCCTCGCGCTTTCCTCGAATAGAAGCCTGAACGTTGGTGCTAGCGATGTTCGATGAGGGTGGAACTTCCTCCGATACAGGGACCGTGTGCTGTTCGAGGTCAGCATCCATAAGCTGTTGAGCTCGAGCCAGCCGCCGATCGGCTTCCGTGAACCCACTGCTCTTTTTTCGTTGATTCGTCGGCGCCTTGGGGGACATTGAGAGCTTTGCACTGAAATCCATTAAGACATCAATTCCGTTGAATAGGATCCATAGGTGCGTATTTAAAAAGAAAAGCATACTTTCGAATTTGAGCTTTAGAAATACCTCAATTTGTGCATCGGAGCTACAGGCTGGACTTTTTTCACATTAGCTGGTCCCTGCTGTTGTTGCTGGGTGGTATGTTTGGTTTTCGCCGCTAAAAATCAAGTTATCGCATAGGGACTTCTGCCTAAATGGTCCCTCTATGGGGCTGATGCCGTTTGGACGCGATCAGTTTTGGCTACTGGCTCATTTGAAGTGCCTAGATGACCAAATCTGTAGAAAACTTGCATACAGGGGTTATTTAAATCCTGATTACGAATATGACATTCATTCTTGGCGCTGGCGCTAATGGATGACACTACGATTATCTGCGCTCTGCTAAGGCTGAGCCCAGAAGATAATCGTAGTGTCCTCCATTAGCGCCAGCGCCAAGAATGAATGTCATATCCGTAATCAGGATTTAAATAACCCCTGTATGCAAGTTTTCTACGGATTTGGTGATCTAGGCACTTTACATATGAGACAGCAGCCAAAACTGAGCGCGTCCAAACGGCACCAGTCCTCCTATGTCAAACTGATGTAGACTTACGTTTGATACTGACAGGGACTGGAATTCTCTGGCTTTTCTTTGGCGCTATCTTTATCTTTCATCTCCTTCACTTTCGAGTTTATGACAGACACCTGCGCTTTCTTCTTTTTCTAAAAAGTCGGGTTCGAGGCTAGGAGCTCCATTTGTGACAATAAACTTCAAATTTTTCATGGAACGAATACTGATTAAGGATGAAATATGAAATTATGCTGTACACAACACAAGTGAAGGAAGTTTAGAGCTTGGTGGCTCTACTTTGCACCTACATGTACTGAACACTGCTTGGGTAACCATGGGCTTACCCATTCGAAATTTCTTTCACCGGACCAGTTGGAAAGGAGAAAGCGCTGATTCCAGCAACGGATGTCCCCAGAGCTCCCTGCGTGGACATTTTTTTGTGACGTTTTTCATTCTATAACCCGATGTATATCGATGACAGTGTAACGTACTTATGCGTGCATTATAAATAAATAAAC